GAAAAAAGAGAGGGAGGGAAGGGGGAGGAGAGGGAAGGGGGAGAGGGAGGAGAGGGAAGGGGGAGAGAGAAGGGAGAGAGAGGGGAGAGGGAGAGAGAGAAGAAAGAGAGAGAACGAGAAAAAAAGAGAGAGAGAGGAGAGAGAAACAGAGAAAGAAAGAGAGAGAAAGCAAAAGAGAGAAAGAGAAATAGAGAAAGAAAGAAAAACAGTAAGGCTCCATTCACATATAGCGTTTGCACTTGCTGTGCGGTTTTCCGTGCCGAAGACCGCAAGGAAATGCAAACGCTAAAATCTTTCATCCGCAGGGATTCTGCTCGTTTGCGGCTATTGGGTCCCGTTCACACCAGGGCGGGTCAGAACGATCCGAACCACCCCCCGCCCAAATTGCTCCCTGACCCTTTTTTGCCGTATACATACAGCTATCAGCGATGAGACGCAATTAAAAACTCCCAAAACCTCCTTTTTTAAATCAGTGCGGAAACCGCGCTGATCCGCAACCGCCCTGGTGTGCATTGGGGCTCGGTTTCGTACCATGCGGCCGCTGCAAAAGTCTGAACAATGCACATTAAAGTGCACTGTTTTTTCTGTTTGGAGCAGCTCTGCGCGTATTCGGCTGGCCGTACACGCGAGGACAACCGCTCCAGTGTGAATGGGGCCTTAGTGAAAGGGAGAGAAAGAAGAAGAAAGCGATAGGAAGGGGGGGGGGAGGGGGATAGGAAAGGCCCTTTAACGCGAAACAATCGGCGTCCTGCCTTTAATCTAATGTAAATTATAATCTGTTTTCTCGCCGCGGTTTCTGATGTGTGAGCAGTTTCAGTTTTATTTAATAAAATATCACAGGACCGCCGTATGAGAGGGCAGCCATTTAACCGGACCGCATTGACCCCAATCAAAATCCCAGCTGGGGACAGATTAGGAAAATATCCGGCCTCTATTATGCAGAATTAATTACCCCGCGCACTCTTCATGGCGACATTGTGCTTTGTATTCAGGGAAGTAGAATGTGGCCAGTTGTAAAGCAACCTGTGGAAACAGGAGCCGATGTCTTCATGTTAGAGATGTGTGTTGTACCATCAGAGAGGCGGGAAGGAAGGAAAAGAGGAAGAGCGGGAATGAAGAAAGTGTGGTACGGGAGGAAGGAAGGAGAGAGGGAAATGTGGAAAGAAGGAAGAAGAGAGAAATGTGGAAAGGAAGGAAGAAGAGAGGGAAATATGTAAAGGAAGGAAGGAAGAAGAGAGGGAAATGTGTAAAGGAAGGAAGGAAGGAGAGAGGGAAATGTGGAAAGGAAGGAAGGAGAGAGGGAAATGTGTAAAGGAAGGAAGGAGAGAGGGAAACGTGGAAAGGAAGGAAGGAGAGAGAGAAATGTGGAAAGGAAGAGAGGGAAATGTGGAAAGGAAGGAAGGAGAGAAATGTAGAAAGGAAGTAGGGAGAGAGGGAAATGTGGAAAGGAGGAAGGAGAGAGGGAAATGTGGAAAGGAAGGAAGAAGAGAGGGAAATGTGGAAAGAAGGAAGGAGGGAAATGTGGAAAGGAAGGAAGGAGAGAGAGAAATGTGGAAAGGAAGAGAGGGAAATGTGGAAAGGAGGAAGGGGAGAGGGAAATGTGGAAAGGAAGGAAGAATAGAGGGAAATGTGTAAAGGAAGGAAGGAGAGAGGGAAATGTGGAAAGGAAGGAAGGAGAGAGGGAAATGTGGAAAGGAAGGAAGGAGAGAGGGAAATGTGGAAAGGAAGGAAGGAGAGAAATGTTGAAAGGAAGGAAGAAAAGAGGGAAATGTGGAAAGAAGGAAGAAGAGGGGAAATGTGGAAAGAAGGAAGAAGAGAGGGAAATGTGGAAAGGAAGGAGGGAAATGTGGAAAGGAAGGAAGGAGAGGGGGAAATGTGGAAAGGAAGGAAAAGGAGAGAGGGAAATGTGGAAGGAAGGAAGGAGAGGTGGAAATGTGGAAGGAAGGAAGGAGAGAGGGAAATGTGGAAGGAAGGAAGGAGAGAGGGAAATGTGGAAGGGAGGAAGGAGAGGGAAATGTGGAAGGAAGGAAGGAGAGGTGGAAATGTGGAAGGAAGGAAGGAGAGAGGGAAATGTGGAAGGAAGGAAGGAGAGAGGGAAATGTGGAAGGGAGGAAGGAGAGGGAAATGTGGAAGGAAGGAAGGAAGGAGAGGGAAATGTAGAAGGAAGGAGAGGGAAATGTGGAAGGAAGGAAGGAGAGGAGGAAATGTGGAAGGAAGGAGAGAGGGAAATGTGGAAGGAAGGAAGAAGAGAGAAATGTGGAAGGAAGGAGGGAGGAAAATATGGTTGTGTTCCTGCTAGTTGAGAAAGAGATACTTCAATGGGGCTCTCTATGATGGAAATATTGGTGCCTCCCAAGAACAAGGAAAGAAAGAGAAAGAGAGAAAGAAAGAAAGAAAGAAAGAAAGAAAGAAAGAAAGAAAAGAAAGGAGAGAAAGAAAGAGAGAGAAAGGAGAGAAAGGAGAGAAAGAGAGAAAGAGAGAAAGAAAGAGAAAGGAGAGAAAGAGAGAAAGAAAGAGAGAGAAAGGAGAGAAAGGAGAGAAAGAGAGAAAGAAAGAGAGAGAAAGGAGAGAAAGAGAGAAAGAAAGAGAGAGAAAGAAAGAGAGAAAGATCTTTCAGCAATTGTCTATGATTGTACATATTTCCTTTGCAGTGATCACTTCCCGTTTGTCTCATCTGTACACAGCGGCACATCTATAATATGTTATGGTTGTGTTCCTGCTAGTTGAGAAAGAGATACTTCAATGGGGCTCTCTATGATGGAAATATTGGTGCCTCCCAAGAACAAGGAAAGAAAGAGAAAGAGAGAAAGAAAGAGAGAAAGAAAGAAAGAAAGAAAAGAAAGGAGAGAAAGAGAGAAAGAGAGAAAGAAAGAGAGAAAGAAAGAGAAAGAAAGAGAGAGAGAGAGAGAAAGGAGAGAAAGGAGAGAAAGGAGAGAAAGAAAGAGAGAGAAAGGAGAGAAAGGAGAGAAAGAGAGAAAGAGAGAGAAAGGAGAGAAAGGAGAGAAAGGAGAGAAAGAGAGAAAGAAAGAGAGAAAGAAAGAGAGAGAAAGAAAGAGAGAGAAAGATCTTTCAGCAATTGTCTATGATTGTACATATTTCCTTTGCAGTGATCACTTCCCGTTTGTCTCATCTGTACACAGCGGCACATCTACAATATTTCGCTCAGAGTCTGAGAGATTTCCATGTTTACTTTTGTTGGCATGTTTCACATTGTTACTCTCAGAATGCGGAATGTCTGTTTCGGGCCATTTGTCATATCTGAATCTTGTGCTATGAAGACTATTATTTGCATGCAAATCTGAGAGACGCGACAGCGGATTGTCACTGCCGAATACTCATTTCTCGTGCGTTGGATTGATGTCCTGAGATTTCCCGGGATGGTTTTGATTTTTCTATATATTTCTGGAGGAACTTCATGCGGATATATTCCAGTTACCGAGTATAACGATTACAATGATTGTATATCCTTGCAGAGTTCTGTCCTCGGAGGTTTGATATTAGGATTGGCATTTGGGGGATTATGAAGGAATATATTTTCTGTATCAATGAAGTTGACGTTGAACGTATTATTAGGGCCCCGGGATTTCTTATTGTATTTTGTTTCTTTGTTATATACTAAGAAAGAGTTGTAGGCAGACCTATTAAAACTGTTTAAGATCATTCCCCGTGTTCCCAGATCCCCTTCTTTCAGTACCTGATTATTGTGTCTAATGAGTGGGCTACATGGTGCTGTTTTCATTTAGGGGGGTTCTCTTTTTGGCACAGCGATTGACCTATTTTAAGACCCCCAGATTTAT